AGATGACACTACCAAGCTCTGTCTCATTCTCTTACTTAAGAGAGAAGAGCTAACTGACCTGAAAATACTGAGACTCATTTGAAGAAAACATTCCTAAAGTTGAAGAACAGCTCAACAAACATGCTCCATGTCTGAGGGGATTACAGAAGGACTTCTGTTGTTAACATCATATGATAGAATGCAAGCTCTCTGAGAGAAGGGACCTAACATGTGTGTTTCTACTGCCCCTCATTAATGCGAGTGGTGCAACAAATATCTGTTGAATGGATAATGAACAAGTAAAAGATTAAATTAAGAAACAATGAAATGACATCTAGCCGGTGTGGCTCAGTGCACCAAGAGGTCACCGGTTCGATTTCCGGTCAGGGCATATGCTCAGGTTGTAAGCCCAATCCCCAGTTGGGGGCATGCAAGAGGCAGCCAACTGATGTTCTCTCTCATTGATGTTTCTGTTTCTCTCTCCCTCTCCCTTCCTCTCTCTCTAAAAATCAATACAGAAAAAAAAATTTTTTTAAAGAGACAATGAAATGAAAATCAGAATTAGCAACCAAAGCATATCAGTTCTTACTCCTATTTTACAGATGTAAAAACAGAGGAACTTTGATTTTTTTTAAAAAAAAATTTTTTTCTTTATTGATTTTAGAGAGAGAGGAAGGGAGAAGGAGAGAGAGATAAAAACATCGATGAGAGAGAACACTGATTGGCTGCCTCCTGCATGCCCCACATTGAGGACTGGGCCCACAACCTGGGCATGTGCCCTGACTGGAAATTGAACCGGTGACCTCTTGGAGCATGGGCTGATGCTCAACCACTGAGCCACACCGGCTGGGCAAAGGAACTTTGATTTATCCAGCAACAGCAAAATTGGAAATGAAAAGCCTCTTGTTTCCTCTATCATGATCCCTTTTCTCTTCCAGGTTTCTTGATTTACCTCCTACAGTCCTTCCAGATCCTAATTTTCCAGGAGCCTTTCCTGAACCACCCCCATTCCACCCTGCACCCACTCCCTGCACCCACATCCACCCTAAGCCCCTGAAGGTCAGGCACCCTGTGCTTGGTGCTCCCATAATTATCTAGTTCATCACGTTTATTACACTGAATTGCAATCACCTGTTAATGTCTGTAAGCTCCTCGCGGAGGGTAGGAACCCTGCCTGCCTTATTCACCCCCACTCCTTGCCCCAGTACCTAGCACAATGCTTGGCATAGAGCAGGCAGTCACCTAGGTGCTGCTAGGGTTGAAGAGAACTTGTTTCCCCTACCCCTGGACCACGTCCCCTTTCGAAGAGCCAGAAAGAATGTTGGGGAAAGAATTTCAGAAAGAAGGCAGTTTAGCGCCTGGTCAAGGACAAACACTTAAACATAATGAAAACTGAGTACAGCAGACTTAATTTAAAGCCAGTCCATTGTTCTGAAATTCAAGAAAATGAATAAAGGAAAACTTGCTAAGAAAGGAAGAGCTCCCAGTAGCAGTCTCTATAGAGTGAATCCTAAACTTGAAGAAGCACAGGCACACACGGTGGCCCTAATGAACAAAACTTCCTTGAACTAACAGTTTCACTGGGAAAATCCACCCCAAAGAGAACCATGATCAAGTGTTGTTACATTTTCTTTTTCTCTTTTAGAGAAAAAGGCTGATTTTGAGAACTGGATGGTGTGGCTCAGTTGGTTGAGCGTTGTCTCCTGCACCAAAAGGTCACTGGTTTGACTCCCAGTCAGGGCACATGCCCAGGTTTTGGTCTCAGTCTCCAGTAGGGGGAGCAGGAGGCAGCGGAGCAATGTATCCCTCTCACATCAATGTTTCTCACTCTTCCACTCCCTTCCTCTTTCTCTAAAATCCATTTTAAAAGAAGAGAGTCTGATTTTGAAATCATTTTCCCTTATCTCCATATTGAATACAACAAACAGCCTGATCTACCTCATTCAGGCTTACACGTGTTTGTATTAGCACTGGACTGAAGTTGAGTCTGCCCTGCATACTATACTATATCACTTGTTTAAAACAGTACCACAAAAATAAAATAAATTATAACCTAAATCTATGTATGCAGTAAAACAGTCTTCTTTCACTTCTGAAAAAAAAGAAGAAAACCAACTTTACATGAACTTCAAGGTTAAAGTTTCTATAGCACAAATCAGATGACAGTAGCTAACGCAGAAGTATTAAAACAATTTTCTTTGTCCCATCCCCATTAGTCATTAATAACAACAACAATAATGGGCTGTGGAATCATACTAATCTGCAGGGGAAAAAATGCCAGGGAGTTTAAATAAAATCCCTTCACACGCCTCCCCCCAAAAAGAGTGCATCTTTCTAATAAATACAGTATACTAACCATGGGCTCCTTCACTTAATTAAATGATCAAACAAGCCAAATGCAAGTTCCCTTGCCGAGATTAAGCAAACTGCTGGGAAGATCAGTTCATTCAAATTATATTCAGAAGATAGTAAAAAGAAGCTGACCTAATCTCCTTTAATTCTCTATCTCCTTGGTAACCCAGTATCTCCAGATTTAAGGGCAATAAGAACATTTACCCAAATCAACTCCACCTTGGACATGGAGCTGACAAGCCATCCATTCCTACCCATGACAGAGGCATTGGGGTATCAGAGGAGACCTACAGAACTGCTAAGCACCTCTCCCAAATGGATCCTACAGATATTCTTCCTATATAAGCTGTAATGGGCTAACACACCTTAGCTCTAGAGATTTTTGGGGGGGGCAGGGGACAGGTGACCAAAAAGAAAGTTGTTTAAAATGTATTAGTCTAGCTCTGGCCGGTTTGGCTCAGCAGTTGGAGCATCGGCCTGTGGACCAGAGAGTCCCAGGTTTGGTTCTCGCTAGGGGCATGTATCAAAAAAAAAAAAAGTATTAGTCTATAGTATTGAGCAGGCTACTTCTATTGGAGGCTAAAGTTAATAAAGGATTTTCAGGGTTGAGTCAGTCCTCACTGCAGTCCTCAGGATGCTACTCTCTCCCCGCCTCCTCCCCTCCATCATCACCCCCACTTTTTACAAAGGCATTAACCCCAATTCCAAACTAATAATAATTCTGTCTCTTCTGTGTTACAAATATTCAACCACTGTGGTTAAATACCATGTACGACACAAACAGGGTCAAGAATGCTGGTTGCCACTGGAGTCATGTTTAAATTAGCATTAACCAGCAGGCCCTTCCCTAAACAAAACAAAATGCCTTGTTGGTCATCTCTGTGCCTGGAGAGTGATTTTAACCCATATGCTCAAAAGGCCTCAAGAGGTCCAGACATAACATAATAGCATCATTAATTTGCACTAAATCAAATTTCTCAAAAGTAGAAGCACTATCAGTGGGGGAAGGAAGATACCATATATTCATTTATTCTGCAACCCTCATGTAATCTGGATAAGCTAGCAGCAGTAACTCACTAGCCATGAGTTATAATGGAGTTTAATGGAATAAACTCCAATCACTTCTCAATCATTTCATTCCTTACTATATCCCAATAAGTGTTACTCAGTGTCTTCCTACATCTTAGGGTTAAATAATACTTCCCTTCCCCATTCCCACATAGCACAACTCCTTAAAATAAAAACATCCAAGTTCCCCCATAATTTGCCACCTTATATCTTTGCAGCCCTCATTACCCCAGCCTCCAACCACACCTTCACCCCACAACACTCATCTTTTAAGAGATGCATCATTTTCATCCTTCAAGTCCCTTTCAGAAGTCTTCCCCAAAGTCAGAATTTAATTTTCCATTCCCTGGCACGCCAAGGTTCTTGGATTCTACAGCTGCTGCCCAGTTATGCAATCCAGCTGGGAAACTGAAGTTAGCTGCATCTTTTCCTTCGCACTGGAGCTCCTTCTAGAACCTCCTTTTTATGATACTAATATCTCCACTGTAGGAGGAATTCAGTCATTGCTTATTGAATTAAAATTTTCTCCTTTTCTCTCAACTCTAGGACATCCATAATAGTCTTCCATGAAATAGTTAACTAATAACACAATAGGGACTTTTTGGGTAACATATGCAAAAATAAGGAACCAAACAGGAGTATGATACCAAGTCAGCAAGGCCAGAGCAGATTTTCAGACTTTAAACCAAGAGCTTAGATTCAAGTTTTTACTACATCATACTTCACTTTTAAAATAAATCATGTTCCTCAAGTGTGTGTGCATATTGGTACCAGAAAAATTAAAGAAAAGAAAGATAGGCCACACATCAAGCACAGACATTAAAATTTACTCAAAAGTAAATTTCAAAAGTCTTATGATTTCCTGAACACTTGGAGCTTCCCAGTAAAAACGATAGAGTGTACTCTGCCCAGATTACAGCTTTCCCTACAAAGCATTTGAAATAAGGTTTCTGGCCGAAACCATCAGACTGAATGTTATTCTGTATCAAAAAGACTTAGCAATAAGGATTTTACTTTCTTTGACTTTTCCAATAGGTCTAACAGAACAGTTTCAGTAAAACCTCGAAAATACTATGGTATAATTTTTAAATCAAATTACCCTTTGGGAAATATTCACTTCCAATGAAAACAGAACTTTCAAAATGCAAGTTTCTGAAAAGACTGCCACTTAACATCCCCACCTCTGTTATTTGTTCCCATCATTCACAGGGAAACTGAGATCCAGGCTGAGTGCCCACAGCGCTGGTGGCAGCTGACCCACTAAAAGACTATAATGCAAGGAGCACAGGTCAGCTATAGGGATCGCTTTTATTTTAAACTTAAGCAGGCTCACACATTTTTAAATAATAAAGGTAATAAAAGGTTGATGGGAGGAGGGAGCATTATTGATGCCCTTGTGGAGGAAGAAAGAAAAAAAAAGAGAGAAATGAAACAGTTCAAGGCTCTTCCCTCTCCAGGCATCTCCTACTGCTGGTTTTCCTCCACCTTCCTGGCCCTGTTGCCCTCTCACTTCCCTCCAGGACTAACCCCTTCACACTTCCTTACTTAACCCTCTTCCTACTGTTCTAACATGAGATAACCACCCACCCGTTTCTAGTTACCTGGGGAGCCGGAAGAAACCGCAAAGATCCTCAAACCCCTCCATTTTCTAGATGAGAACCCCAACACAGAGAACGAGCTGACCTGACAGGCTAAGGTCGCACCACTAGGGGACGCGGCTTGAATGGTGACCACCCACTCCTCCTGCCTGGCCCCTCAGTCCGCGCCTTCCCGCCAGACACTCACTACTCCTTTCTCTGGCTACTTGGCTTCAGTAGCATCAAGAAAGAAGCAGTTTTAACATACTTTTAATGCTGATTGCTGATAACAATTTTGTACTGGGGCAAAACAAATATGCTCACCCCTACCCGGGCTTGGAGAGTTGGGGGCTGAAATAACTGGCGGGCACAGAGTGAGTGAGTGAGTAATGGAATGTACTTCGGTCCAAACTACTGTAACTCCAGTATACACCCTTTTTTATTAGGGCTTTCTCTTCTATTTGACAAGGGACTGTCTCCTTCCGAGAACTTATCAGTATTCCCAGCGCAGGGTCTCCCTTTCAACAGACTTGCGGGCTTTGAACTTCTCACTTCACAGTTTTGCTTACCCCTGACAAACGACACTCAAATAGGTGAAAAACACGGACTGTTACAGCCTAAAGGAATAGAGGATTTTGCTCTAATAACTGCAATTAGATGTTTTCAATACTCACTTTGCAAACATGTATCTATTTCAATGGGAAACAACACATTCATAGTGAAATTTTAACAAGCGAGCACTCGCTGGAACCCACATTTACGACAAATCCATAGATTTCAACTAAAAGGAAAAGAAAGAAAGGGCAGAAGTAGCAGCAGAGAGCAACAATCTCGGGCCCCAGACCGAAGGCAAGAAGTTCTGGATGCCGTCATTCTTAACACATCAAAGGCCAAAAGGCAGCAAAGAAAAACAGAATAATTTTTAAATCCATTCAACACAAACTAGTCCTACACAAACCAAACGAGCCCGTTGATTTCAAAACCACCAACTCAAAGCCAGGTCCCTCCCTTGCCTTAGATTTTTCCAGTTACTTGCTAAGCGTGTTTGTTAAAGCGGCTGGACAGAAACTTCAGTTTCACGTCCTCAGCCCACGGGAGACTACTGTACTGAGTTGTCCGTGAAGCAAGTGGTGCCAGAGCTCCAAGCTGCGGGGCGCGAGGACCCCCGGCGGTCCACGTCCACCCGCCCGCGGCTTCGGGGACTCTCCAGCGCCTCCAGCAAGCCTTCCCGCGCCCCCACCCGTCCCAGGTAACCCGAGGCCACCTACGTGTCACTTGGGCGGGCCCCAGGACGCACTGACCTGGCCGGGGGACAGGAGGGCCGGCGGCCCGGCGGCTGCGGCAACTTCCCTCCCGGGGCTCGGTCAACTGGTTGGTCGGAGAGGCCAACCCAACCTCGCCTCCTGCAGGCCGGCTCGCAGGCACGCACACCCACCCACAGCCCACAGGCGAGCGCGCGCACCCACGCTCACACACCCACACCCACGCTCACACTCACACACTCGCACTCACACACTCGCACGAACAGCCACAAAGCCCGTCTGCCGCCGGACAGTGCGATCTGAGCGCTTTCTGGTGTCGGAGGCGACTCTGCGGCCACTGGCTCCGAGCCCAGGGGGCGCCGTCCCCCCGCCCCGCGCCCGCCCCTTTACCTGAGCCCGCCGCCGCCGCCGCCGCCGCCTGGAGTCCGGTTCCCGCCGCCCGCGGGCTGGCCTCCCGGCTACGCGGTCAACCCCGCGGCCAGCCGAGCCCAGCCCTCCGCCCGCCCCTCGGCGGTCGCCGGGAGCCAGGCCACCCCCTGCGCCCACCCCTCCTGGGTCCCGCGCGAGGCCGGGAGGCGGGAGAGGGCTCCACGGCGGCGGAACCCAGGCCGCCCAAGACCCAGGCAGTGTTCTGCAGGGAGACAGGGGATTCACAACTCCCGGGCGTCAACCGCCACTCGGCCCCAACTTCTAGGACTTCGGCGCGCCGGCAGGGCCACCAGAGAGGGGGCTCCGAGGGAGGGCTGATGGAGCAACGCAGACGCCAGCCTCCTTCTTCCCCGCCTTCTTTCTTTTCAGCTTGCTCCACGTAGCACAAGTCAGCAACTCCTGCACCCCTAGACTCCCTCCCCCCAGATCATTCCCCTACCTGGTGTGACACCCCCAGAGCCCCTACCAACTGCGATCCCCTTCCCCCATTCATTCTCGGAACTTCCCGCCCCGGCTGCCTAAGCTTCCCATTCATTATCTTACCAATCCCCCCTCCCCGCCCCCGCCCCTGATCGGACACACCCCAGGCGAAGACCCGTCTGGGATCCCCACCCCTAGGCCCTGCAGGGCTCACCTCAGCGCCCGACGGCTGGTGGGACTCGGATGGGCTCCCCCACACGCTGCATTTTCATTTTGTCGCCCTTCTCTTCCCACATGAAAAGCTCTGGAAAACATCGCGGGGCCAGCAAAACCCCTGAAGTATGGCCTCTCGTCATTCGGTTTTCTAAACTTTGCAGGAGACACGAAGTTTCTCCCAGCGCAGCCTTTAATTGGAGGCTGCAAAGCACCAAGAGTCGACTCTGCTACTAGAAAGGTGCACACGTTTCTATTTCTGCGTTTTCGATTGACTGGGTCTGCAGACCAAAGCAAGTGCGACCGTGCTCCCTTAGTTCTCCATGTCCAGGATTGTAAATTTCTCTTCCGCTTTCCCAGCGAAACTTTGCAAGTGCAAACTATCAATTTTAGAACAGTAATTAAGGGCGGGGAATGCACACCTGAAGGTGTGGGCGGGAGCAGCAGAGGATAAGGCCTGGGGATTGTTCTCAGTAAAGTGGCAGCCAGGAAGACATTCTTGCCCAGGCCCTAAAACAACACTCAGTCCATCGGGGCTCTCCCGCCGCGCCACCTCCATCCACCTTTCACCCTTGGTTTCCCAGGATTTCCGGAGTGTTGGCAAATTCTCTGCCTCTCCCTCCAGTGCTAAAGCCACCACTCATCAAAAGTCACTGCTTAGAAATAAAAAGCTTAGTGTACTCTCTCCTGAAATAGCATATAAAGGGCCTTGACAGTGGTAGCTGGGGACCCGGCAGGACTGATACAACTATGTCTAAGAAAGAAATACAGAACTGCGAGGGAGGGAGGGCTGCATTGGTGGTAGTGGTCCGGCAACCTTAGGCTTTGAAGAAAGGAGAGGTGACCGGAAGCCGTATTGGGCTAGAGGGGAAACCCTCTTGGAGAAAATGGAAATGTTTTATGCTTCCGGGAGGTATGCTTCCAAGCGAACACGACCATCCTGCCCGTGACTGCTGACAACCTTGACTGTGGTCCCCTTGTGGTTTTCACAGGATGCTCAAGGCTAAGCCCTGGCTAGAAGTCAATTACTATCTGAAGCTGTTTCCTTTTTAAAACAATTTATCAAATCCCTTTTTTAAATTCAGCTGTAAACAACTCTACTTTCTCTCATTTTCTACCAATTTATCATTTATTTTATAATCACTGAAAATATGAAAAATATATAAATGTTAATACATGCACAGTACTAACATATTCACATATAACATGCAGAAAATGCATATACTCTTATCTCACAAATAATGAGAGTTGATCTTAAATTCTCTCTATATATATGTATACACACACACACACACACACACACACACACTGTATCAGGACAGAGAGGAAAATGTCCACTATAAAATCTAAGTATAAAAACTAAACATTGGTAAGAAAAGAAGAATATACTGGAAGAGGCTTTCATTTCAACTAGCTCCATGCAACTCAGAAAAATCACTTAGCTGATTTTCCTGTCTTCTTCTTACTATACACTTTTTTTTTAATCCTCACTAGAGGATATTTTTTCAAATATCTGCAGATAGAGTGGGAGGGGGAGAGAAAGAAAGAGGGACACATGGACAGGTTGCCTCCAGCACGACTCCCCCCCACCACCACCAGGGCAGGGGAGGGACTGCAACCCAGGTCTGTTCCCCTGACCAGATTCTAACCCGGAACTCATTGGTCTGCAGGCCGAAGCTCTAACCATTGAGCAAAACCAGCCAGGGGTTAGTACACACTTTTAATTTACTGTTTGGTTCTTCAACCCCAAAACTTCTACATCTTCCAGGGAAGAGAATATTTTAAATTTTTATTTTAAATAATTAAATTATTATATGATATAATTAATAATTATATAAAATAAATCAGTATAAAATAAATCTTTAATTCAATAATTAATTATTTCAATGTTTAGTCCTATCTCATAAATCAAAGGTAATGTGTAAATGAGTTTCTTGCCTAGCAATCAACTTGAATGTTTTCCAATATACTGATTTTATCTCTGTCTGAAGGAATATGGATGCTTCTGCTTTGATTATATATGAACTGCCTTAGTTACTCTGTGGTCCTTTCTAACGTCAAATAAGGAGTTCTTTGCTACTACAAAGGTGCACAAGTTTCTATTTCGGCGTTTTCGATTGACGGTCTGCAGGCCAAAGCAAGTGCGACTGTGTTCCCTTAGTTCTCCACGTCCAGGATTTTACATGTCTCTTCTGCGTATTAAACAGTTCTAAGTTATTTTCTGTAAGAGACTTTATTTCCTCTTTATTTGGTCTACCATGTCCTAAAATGAAATGCAGAACAAAGTGCAGGGTCAGCCTGGACGGACCTGTTTTCTTTAGGGGTGTGGACCTGTCTAAAACCTCCGGCTCTGCAGCTGCCTCCAGGTCAATAACTAAAGTCAAATCCTGATCAGCACAGAGATTTATCCATCAAAACTAATATTGTGTTCCAAATGAGCCAGTTTTGTCATCTGTGAAATGGGATAATAATATTAGTTACAGTATTTCATTGGGTTCCAAGTTGTCTTTATCAAAGTAAGATAGTATATTTGAGCAGTCTTCGTAAAACACTAAAGTGGATGATGTTGTTTTAACAAAGACGAAGGATACCTTGATACACTTTCTTTAATGTTTTTATCTGTCTGTGGCTCTCTTGCCATTCAGATTTTATTCCCTTTCTTGGATAGTCAGCCTACTGCTCTCAGTCCTAACCTTCCTCTCTTATCCTCTGCCAAGCAATGTTTCTCTATATTTGTTTCTTCAAATGACTGCAGCAGAGCCAAATAGACAGCTGGTGTGGTCAAACGTGAGAAAAAATATTTTCAGCAAAATGAAGAGAATTTTAATAAGGGATATTTCAAGTAGAGTTACATTACTATCTTAAAGAACTTTGTCCAATTTTTGATGTTATCTAATGGTCCAAGGACTATAATTTGCAAAGCATTTAGGACTGAAAAACTGGTTGTCACTGTTTCAGGCTCTGTTTGTTCAAAAGGGTTTGCTGGTCATGCCAGTTCTCCCTTCCTCCCAAGTTCCTTTCCGTCTGGCAAAAAAAGCCTTTGAAATTTTCTACTAGAGAGTAATGAAAACTATCAGCAAAAAGATCTGTTGGAAACTTTCCCTTCAGTCCATTTTGATGCAGAGACTAATTCAAAGACTATATTGTAGTGAAATGATACCCTAAGAGAATTCAGCCTGCTTGGGAAAGTTTTTCAGATGCCCCCCAGGCATAGGTGTCTTCCTGTTGAAAATAGGGTGTCTGTGCCTGTCCAGTGTTTTTCCCCTGGCTAGAGAAAAAAAAAACATTCTCCTTAGGAAGCCTCTCTATTTTAAAAGGCCAGTGGCAGAGGTGGGTGAGACAGCCCAATTTAGTAAAAAAAATAATACTCTTCAGGGTAGAAGGAGACTCCAGGAATGGGTATTGTGTGTGTAGCAACCTTGTATGAG